GGTGCCCCCTGTCGACCCAATGGAGTTCCGGCGGCGAACCAGATTGACGCTAACTCACATGTGGCCATCAATGCAAATTTTCCTACCGATCTTGAGAACAGCATCCGCGGGGGAGTCCGTTCGGTATCCCAAAATACACATGACGGTGAAGGTGATAGAATCAACTTGCGAGTAATCTTCGAAATGTTGCAGACTCAACAAACAATGATAGCCCAGTTGCAGAACCAGAGTCGTGCCCCCAGCAGCATCGAGCCGGAACTATCCCGGGAGAATGCTCGCAAAAATGAACCGATCGTAGAAAGGACGAGTGAAGTCGAACCCTGGACCAACCTTGACACCATAAAGATGATTGAGGAACTGACAAAACGGGTAGAATCAGGAGAAAAGAAAATCGAAGCCATTGACAAAAAGATGGAAACCTACAATTCCAGGGTCAACCAAATCCTAGGAGCACCATCGATATTGAAGGGCTTGATTCTAAGAAGTTTGTTCATAAACCTTTTCCTCCGAGCGCAGCTCCGAAGACAATTCCAAATAAGTTTCGCACGCCCGAGATTCCTAAGTACAATGGAACAACTAACCCAAATGAGCATGTGACCTCCTACACGTGCTCCATCAAAGGGAACGACTTGGAGGATGATGAGATCGAGTCCGTCCTGCTAAAAAGGTTCGGGGAAACTTTGTCAAAGGGATCTATGATATGGTATCACAACTTACCCCCTAATTCTATTGACTCATTTGCTACGCTTGCAGACTCCTTCATGAAAGCACACGCCGGGGCCGTCAAGGTAGAGACCAGAAAGTCAGACCTTTTCAAAGTGAAACAGAGAGATAATGAGATGCTTAGGGAATTTGTGTCCCGGTTTCAAATGGAATGAATGGACCTGCCTCCGGTCGGGAACGATTGGGCCGTTTAGGCCTTCACCCAAGGACTCAATACTCGAAGCTCATTGGCTTCGCAGCAGTTGAAGCAAAATCTAATAGAATATCCGGCGGTAACTTGGGCCAACTTCCATAACCGGTACTAATAAAAAATCAGGGTCGAAGATGATCAGCTTGTGGGTCCGGGTCCGTTTATCCTGTCAGAGATAGTGACAGATCCAAAAGAGACATTGATCGTGAATCAAGATCAAATAGGGATCGGTATCAGCCATACAATGGATACAGAAGAGGTAATGGGTCTGGACGAAACCTTGTGAGAAGTGAAAGGAGAAGCGATCGAGTTCAAAATAATCGGAGACTCATGAGCAAAAGCAGTTTCGGCAGGCCTATCGGGCTTAAGGAAGAGCCGAAGTTATCGGAGTACAACTTCAACGTCGATGTTGCTGCCATCGTATCTACAATCGGGCGCATCAAAGACACCAAGTGGCCTCGACCTTTAATGTCCGATCCATCCAAAAAGGACCCCAACCTAATGTGTAAATATCATGGCATTCACGGCCACAGAACTGGAGACTGCCGACAACTGAGAGAGGAAGTAGCCCGGTTATTCAACAACGCACACCTCCGAGAGTTCCTGAGCGATCGAGCCAAAAATCATTTCAGGAATAAGGACTCCAATAAGTAGATCGAGCAGGAGGAACCTCAGCACGTCATTAATATAATCATCGGTGGGGTCGACGTCCCCAGGGGCCAATGTTAAAGCGCACCAAAGTGTCCATCACAAGGTAAAAACAGACTCGATATTATGTGCCAGAAAGAGCCTTATCTTTCAATGACGAGGACGTTGAAGGCATCGTATAGCCACACAATGATGCATTGGTAATATTTGTACTCATAAATAAATCTCGAGTTAAGCGTGTGTCAATTAATCCAGGTAGCTCGGTCAATATCATCAGATCGAGAGTCGTAGAGTAGCTGGGTCTACAAGACCAAATCGTGCCTGTAGTCCGAGTTCTAAACGAATTCAATATGGCATGTGAAACCACTAAAGGGGAGTTAACACTATCAGTGAACACCGCCGAAACCATTCAGGAAACAAAATTGCATGTGATCGAAGTACATATGAGATACAATGCTATGTTCAGAAAGACATGGATTCACAACATGAGGCAGTGCCCTCGATACTGCACCAGGTGTTGAAATTCCCAACACCAAGAGGGATTAAAAAAATTTACGAAGAACAACCGGGCGCAAAGAAGATGCTCGCAGTCGACGAGGTGGTCACGATATCCGCACTTTCGACACCAAAGGATCCGATTTCGGTCACCAAGGAAGAGACCAACTATCAATTACCCACACCGGCCCTGACCAAACTAGAAAAGCAGGGGACGGATGAGGATGGCGACTATGGAGTTCCCAGGTCTTTCATAGCCCCCAACGATTCCTGTGCCACCAAATGAATGGTTGAGGAACTGGAGCAAGTCATATTGATTGAGCACCCGCCCGATCATTTAGGTATACCTGGGCAGGAGGTTAAGTCCCGAGCTCAGGAAAAAACTCATTAAATTCCTTATAGCTAACATAGATTGTTTCGCTTGGTCCCACCTTGACATGACAGCGATCCCGCCGGAAATAACTACTCACAAGCTGAGCTTGGACCTGAAGTACCACCCGATCAAACAGAAAAGGAGGCCTTAGTCCGAAGTCAATCATGTATTCATCAAAGATGAGGTATCTAAACTTCTTAAAATAGGATCCATTCGGGAAGTTATGTACCCGAATTGGTTAGCAAACGTAATAATAGTCCCTAAAAAAGGTAATGAATTAAGAATGTGTGTTGACTATAAAGACTTGAACAAGGCATGCCCCAAGAACTCTTTTCCGTTTCCCAACATCGATTGCATGATCGATGCGATGGCCGGCCACGAGATCCTCAGCTTTCTCGATGCCTATTCCAGGTACAACCAAATTTGGATGGACCCGAGCGACCAGGAAAAAACATCCTTCATCACTAAATACGACATCTACTATTATAACGTAATGCCGTTTGGACTAGAAGAAATGCCGGTACCACTTACCAACGCCTAGTAAATCGGATGTTCGAAGAGCAAATAGGAAAATAAATGGAGGTTTACATTGATGATATGTCAGTTAAGTCCCTGTGAGCAGATGACCATTTGAAACATTTGCAGAAAACCTTCAACATATTGAAGAAATACAATATGAAGCTGAACCCGAAGAAATGCGCGTTCGGAGTCGGGTCTGGGAAATTTCTCGGATTCATGGTGTCTAATCGGGGAATCGTGATCAATTCTGATAAAATCATGGCCATAAAGAAAAAATCGTATTTTGTGTACCCTTGGCAGTGAAGTCGGGCAACAGAATCCGCCTTAGCATCCGCACTTGGGCACAACAGAGATGGAGGAAAAAAGGTTGGACGCGAAGCATCCAGCCTAGCATGAGAAGCTGAAGAAGTGAAAGCTGAGTCGGATTAGGAGAACTTTGGCCCACGATTTTTGTACGTAATATATAAGCCAAAAATGCCTCTTTTAGGTCATCTAACACATTGGGAAGCGGAAAAAACCATCACAAAGCTTGGAAACCACGGAATTCGTCTTGAGTTCTCACTTTTTTCTTCTTTTATTGATTTTTATGTATTCTTGGGAATTACTTGAGATTGTTATCATGAGCATGCGAGGCTATTATTCTGGGGTCATGGGTCCTACATGAATGTTGATGTTTGAAGTTAAAATTGTCAAGTTTGAGTTTATTATATTGGGTTATTTATTTAATTCTGTTTTTAATTATTTTGCTGAGTAGCTAACAGCGAAATACTATCTACGAATCTAGAGTTGAAATTGAAAGAAAGAATTATAGATTGCATATAGAATTAAATAGAGCAAGTTTTTGAACCCGGGCATCGGTGAACAGATTCATAATTAGGATAGAAATATACCTAATTGCCTTGCTTGGTTGAAATACAGGAAATGTAAATGCATTCTTGTTAATCTTAATTCCATAGACATATAGGCATTATGTTAGCTTGAATAGGCGAGTAAGAACTCAACAGATACTTATGAGTAATATCAATCTTGTCAATCAACAATCCAGATAAATCAATTAGTCATTTTAAGTCAAGAACGCAACATGATTGTTAGCTAGCCTATGGCCCTGGAATATCCTCTCTTACTGACTGTTATCCGAAATTACTTAAGTGTTGTGGTTGAATTTTAGTTATTTCATTGCTTGATAGTTTCTTAGGTAGTAAATTAGTCACTTACACATTTTGTGAGAAATTCCTTGAATCGATAAGTTAATTGAGTTTGAATTAGTCAAAAGTTAATCATAAGTCTCCGTGGGAATGATACTCTACTCACTACTTTATTACTTGACGACTTCGCATACTTGCGTGAGTATGTTTGGTTGCAACAATCTTTGGACGCCGTTGCCGGGGACTTAGAAATTAGTTGTTTGACTGAGTTAAGCTTTTATTAGTTATTCGTTCAACTTTTAATTTTTAGTTTGCCTTGGTTGTGTTAGCGCATGCTCTTCTCTTGAATGCGGAGGAGTAGAAGCGCAAACAACCTCCTTCCTCTTGATCCTGAAATTGAAAGAACACTTCACAAAGTGAGGAGGGAAGTCGAAGCTAGAACTAGAATAGAAAGAGAGTTGGACATCGTAGTTCAACCACAGTCAATAGAGATGGCAGGTAATGAAGAGCGTCTGGTGATAGAAGCTGCAAGGCCCAATCTTGCCAATATGACTCAACTATTGTGAAGCCTGATATCACCGGTTAGTTTGAACTCAAACAGTACATGGTACAACTGATTCAGTCCACAGGGAAATATGTTGGTCTATCTCATGAAGACCCGTAGAGGCACATTTAGAACTTCCTAGAAATTATAAACACTTATAATTATCCGAATGTTTCCAAGGACTACGTCAGGCTGACACTATTCCCCTTTTCACTGCTGGGGGAAGCTAAGGAATGGTTTCAAAAGGAGCCCGTGAACTCAATCCACACTTGGGATGATCTGACAAGGAAATTCTTAATCAAGTTTTTCCCACTTAGAAGACAAAGTCGCTGAGTAGCCAGATTCTTGGGTTCCAACAATAGGATGGCGAGACACTTCGTCAAGCTTGGGAAAGATACAAGAAGCTACTCAAAGACTGCCTGCATCATTGTTATACCGATGAGGTGTTGGGTCATACTTTTGTATGGGCTAGACGAGACATCAAAGATGAATCTTGATTCAGCTTGTGGGGGTAGTTGCATGGCGAGGCCATATAGTGAAATCCAACTCTGGATAAATAACTTCACTGCCAATGATCATAATTGGCAAGGAGATGGGGACTCACGAAGAGCAATTAAACAGAAAGCAACCAGTGTAATTGAGCTTGATGACTTCTCAACCATGAGAGCTGATATAGCAAAATTGGCAAATCAGACGAATAGAATGACAATGCACCAAACAAAACAGATGTAATATGTACAACAAATATCTACTTGCTGCGAACTATGTGGTGATGACATGTGCCCCACGAATCCTGAATCTATCACTATGTGAGGCAACGGAGCTGAGGTCTACCTACTATGAATCAGCATGCACAATATGGGAACACTTACATCCTAACTTCTCATTGGGTGGAAATTAGCCGACTCAGAATCATTATAGGCCCCAAGGAAATTTTAATCAACCTCAGAAGCCACCCCAACAAATAGAAGAGAGTACGAATGACTTGTTGAAGAATTTGTTGCTTGACAATCAACAACTCAGGACCGACTTCAGAAATCTTGAGAGGCAAATGAGGCAATTGGTGTCAAATCAAAATACTAAGCCTGCAGGTGCTCTTCTTAGTGATACAGAGAAGAACCCTCAAGTTAATACAGTTACACTCAGAAACAGGAGGGAATTAGAGGAAGTGCCAAAGAAGAGAAAGGACAAGCCTATACCTGAAGGAGAACTGATTGCTAAAGCAACACATGAGTCAAAGAAAGATGATGCAAGTTTAGAGCCGGAGAATGTTGCAAAGTCACCACCACCTTTCCCCAAAGATTGCAGAAGAAGAATGGCGATGGCATGTTCAACAAATTTCTCTCTATGTTGAGCCAGGTTCAATTGAATATTCCATTGGTAGATGTACTTCGTGAAATTCCAAAGTATGCTAAGTACATCAAGGATATAGTGGCTCACAAGAGGAGATTGACTGAATTCGAGACAGTCGCACTTACTGAGGAGTGCACTTCACGAGTCCAAAACAAGCTTCCTCAAAAGCTTAAGGATCCTGGCAGCTTCACCATCCCTGTGCGAATTGGAAATATCAATGTGGGTCGTGCTCTTTGTGATTTAGGGGAGAGAATAAATCTGATGCCCTTGTCCTTGTTCAAGAAATTAGGTTTGGGAGCTCCAAGACCAACCACTGTGATGTTGCAACTAGCGGATAGATCCATAGCATACCCTGAAGGAGTGATTGAAGATGTGTTGCTGCAAATTGGGAAGTTCATCTTCCTAGTGGACTTCATTATCCTAGATTATGAGGCTGATGAACAAGTTCCAATCATATTGGGACGACCTCTCTTGGATACTGGTGATGTAATTATTAAAGTGAGAGAGGGAAAAATGATTATGAGGGTGGACAACGAGGAAGCAGTTTTTAATGTTTACAAGGCGATCCAAATTCCCCATTATGAGGAGCTCTCTATGATATATGTTGTGGAGGTGGATGAGCAACTTCTTGAAACGAGTGTATATCTAGACGATTCTCTAGAGAAAGCTCTCATGTTGTTCGATAGCTTGGAGATTGATGATGAGGTTGAGGAGATTGTACATATCCTAGATACATGATGTGCTTACATGCGAGGATTAAACCCCTTTGAGCCCCTAATAAGCCAAGTGGGGCTCCTCCAAAGCCGTCGATTGAAGAAGCTCCAAATTTGGGACTTAAACCCTTGCTCCCTCACCTTCAATATGCTTATTTGGGTGGTTCTAACACTTTACATGTTATTGTTTCTTCTGACTTATCTAAATTTCAGGAAGAAAAGCTGTTGATAGTGCTATGTGAGCATAAGCGAGCAATTGAGTGGATGATGTCTGACATTAGAGGCATTAGTCTAGCTTATTGCATGCATAAAATCCTCATGGAGGACGGACACAAGCCAAGTGTAGAGCAACAACTCCGCCCAAATCCAATCATGAAAGAGGTGGTAAGAAAAGAAGTGATTAAGTGGCTTGATGCAAGTGTTGTATTTCTAATCTCTGATAGCAAATGGGTAAGCCCCGTAATGTGTTCCTAAGAAAGGGGGGATGACTGTAGTGGTTAATGAAAATAATGACTTGATTCCCATAAGAACTGTCACTGGGTAGAGAATTTGTATAGATTATAGAAAATTGAACAAGGCCACCCGAAAGGACCACTTTCCCCTCCCCTTTATTGACCAAATGCTTGATAGATTAGCTGGACAGGAATACTACTGTTTCCTAGATGGCTATTCGGGGTATAATCCGATTGCTATAGCCCTAGGGGACCAAGAGAAGACCATATTTACGTGTCCCTACGGCACGTATGCGTTCAAGAGAATACCATTTGGTCTCTATAATGCACCTGCAACTTTTTAAAGGTGTATGATGGCTATTTTTACTGACATGGTTGAAAGATTTATGGAAGTGTTCATGGATGATTTTTCTGTGTTTGGGTGTTCTTTTGATAATCGTTTAATGAACCTTGATAAAGTGCTTGCTAGGTGTAAAGAGACGAACTTGGTGCTAAACTGGGAAAACTGCCATTTCATGGTACGTGAGGGTATAATCTTGGGGCACAAGGTGTCCAAAAATAGTTTGCAGGTGGACAAAGCAAAGGCGGAGGCGAATTATCCCCACCGACCCCCGTCAAAGGCATTCGCGGTTTCTTGGGCCATGCAGGTTTTTATCGTCGTTTCATTAACGATTTTTCAAAAATTTCTTCTCCTTTGTGCAGGCTTCTTGAGAAAGATATCCCCTTCAAGTTTGATGATGCCTATCTGAAAGCATTTGAGGAGCTAAAGGGAGGATTGGTGACTGCATCAATATCATTGCCTCAGATTGGGCGCAACCATTTGATTTGATGTGCGACGCGAGTGACATAGCAATCGGAGTTGTTCTGGGGAAAAGGAGGAATAAAATCTTTCACTCCATTTATTACGCGAGCAAAACCCTGAATCCAGCCCAGATGAATTATGCTGTTACTAAAAAAGAGTTGCTCGCAATGGTGTGGGCATTTGACAAGTTCAGATCTTATCTAGTGGGAACCAAAGTCATCGTCTACATAGATCATTCAGCTATCAGATACTTGTTTGAAAAGAAAGACGCCAAGTCGAGGCTGATTCGTTGGGTCCTCCTCTTGCAGGAATTTGACTTGGAGATCCAAGATCGAAAAGGAACAGAGAATCAAGTGGTTAATCACTTGTCCAGATTAGAAAATCGAAACTATGTAGCTGGGGGGGGGGGGGGGTAGGGGTTAATCAAAGAAACATTTCCTGATGAGCAATTATTAGAAATTACCTCGAGTGAAGCCCCGTGGTATGCAGATTATGTGAATTTCATTGCAAGTGGGGTGATGCCACCAGAATTGACACTCGATAATAGAAGAAGGTTTTTACATGATGTGAGGCTCTACATGTGGGATGATCCATTCTTTCATAAGTAGTGCGCAGATCAATTGGTACGAAGGTGTGTCCATGAGGAGGAGATGAATGTAATATTGCATGACTGGCATGCTTCTCCACACGAAGGTCATCACGGTGGGGGATAGAATCGCCCAAAAAGTGCTACAATCAGGTTTCTATTGGCCAAATTTTTTTAAGGATGCACAGGCCTTTGTTAAAAAGTGTGACAGGTGCCAAAGAACCGGAACGATCACGAAGAAGCACGAGATGCCTTTGCAAAATACTCTAGCAGTATAGCTTTTTGATTTTTTGGGGGATTGATTTCATGGGAACGTTCCCACTCTAATGGTCACTGGTACATCTTGGTGGCAGTCTACTATGCGTCTAAGTGGATGGAGTCCATTGCTCTTCCTACGAAAGATGCAAAGGTAGTGGTAAACTTTGTAAAGAAGCACATCTTCACACGCTTTGGGACTCCAAGGGTGCTGATAAGTGATGGAGGAACTCACTTTTGTAACAAGTTATTGAATAATGTTCTAGCAAAGTATGGATTTAAGCACAAGGTTTCCATCGCCTATGACCCCCAAATGAGTGGTCAAGTGGAAGTGTCAAATAGAGAGGTGAAGCAGATTTTGGAGAAAACGGTAAGTGGAAATAGGAAGGACTGGGCCGGAAAGCTGGACGATGCATTATGGGCATATTGCACTGCATACAAGACCCCCATAGGTACTTCTCCATACATGTTGGTTTATGGGAAGGCGTTACACTTGCCCGTTGAGCTAGAATACAAAGCCTATTGGGCGATTAAAAAGCTAAATATGGAGATGAACTTAGCCGGTGAGATGAGGTTGCTACAACTTAACGAGCTTGATGAGTTTCGATTGCACACATATGAAAATGCCAAATTGTATGAAGAAAAGACCAAGAGGTGGCATGATACACACATCCAACATTGCGAGTTTGAGCCAAGTCAATCTTGTTTAATTCGAAGCTGAAGCTTTTCCCTGGAAAGCTTAAATCTCGATGAACGGGTCCTTTTGAAGTGGTTAGTGTGATGCCTCATGGAGCTACAGAATTGCGTGATAGAGTTCCAGTGCAACATTCATGGTAAATGGCCAGAGACAAAAACACTATTGGGGTGGTGACATTGCACGTCACAAGACCTTGCTGGACTTGACTGATGTGTGAACAACGTGGTTCATCGTGCCGCACCGTTAAATCAGGCGCTTCTTGGGAGGCAACCCAAGCATTTTCTTTTGTTTTTCTTTCGTAGCTTACTAATTGTTTTCTGTTCTTAAATTTTTTTTAGTAGATCGTTAATTTTTATTTGGTAGGAGTTAATTCTTGTATATGTTTATAAAAAAAAGGTTCCAGGTATGGGAAAACAGGGTGGATGCATCACATCCCCCTTAGAGCCCAAAGAGACATAACAAATGCACAAGGCAGTGCACACTGGCCATCGTGACCAAGGCCGCCTCCCCTCAAGAATTTTTTAGAACTCATGGGGACGCGTCGCATCCGTTGCTGCACGCCCAAGTACTTAAGGTTCATAAATGGAGGAAACGAGCAAAACTTCCAAGCAACAAGAAAGAGATAATGACAAACAACCGCCTAAAAAGCCCATTGGAAATGCAAATGGTGCTCCAAATCCACACAACAAATGAAAGCGGAATGAGAAAGCGAAGGCACTACTGACTAGACAGTTAATTGATGAATCGGAGCAAGAAGAGGAGGGACCATTAATAAGGAGGACTGTGAAATGCGGTACCACAAAGGCATCAGCAAATCTGTCAAACAAGGGGATAGAGATCAGAGAACCCGTGCCGCACCAGACCAAATCCTCCAAGAAGAGTGACCCGAAAGATAAAGGGAAGTAGAAGGCTACCCCAGAATCTGAGTCCGAGTCTGATTCGGACTATTAGCTCACACATGTCCACATGGGCGACGAAAATGAGGGCGAAAAAATTGGCCGAGCTGCTTGGGAGAAGAATTTTGTTAGTGAAAAGGCATTACGAGCTTATAAGAAGATCCTGGATTCAAAGAAATATATTCCAGAAAAGCCAATCAACATTGGAGCACTGAAGAAAAATTATCTAGATTTCTTGAAATCAATTCGAGAGGTGCAACAATGGGGACCTACCTTGAAGGGCCATGGCAAGGCCAACCTTACTATTGTTAGAGAGCTTTACGCTAATTGGCGTCACTCACGGGGAAACATAGTGAGATTACGAGGATTGGATATCAATGTCTCAGCTGAAGCTCTGAACGAGTTCTTAGGGGTGCCACACATACCAACGGACATGTATGACTCTATATGCAAAGCGCCTGATTACTCACACATTCAGTCCGTTTTATTCCCACCAGGAAAGATGCGAATTGGAAGCATGGGAGTGTAGAGTACCATTCTCTGGCCAAAGAATTCATGAGCGTATTAGAATGTGTGGTTCTAAATTTCATATGCAACCGCCTGATGCCGCGCCAACACAAAACTAATGTCCCTCGATACTGAGCACTAGTGTTGTATGCTTTATTTGAGGGGATCCCGCTCAACTTGGGGGCCATCATGCACGACCAGATGCAGCGCACCAGGATGAACTACAAGTGGAGGTTATTCTTTGCAAATACCATATCGGCTTACTTGACGGAGATGGGAGTGATATTGGACAAGGAGAATGATGACATCGAGGCTAAAGCTCCAGGACCATATGATGCTACTCATGTACTAGAGCCGAACAAGGGAAGGGCTTGTATGTTCACCATTCAACAGTTGTTTGAGCAGATGCAAGCTGATACACAAGAGAACAGAGCTGAGTTGATTGCAACTCGTACAGAGTTGAGTGACACTAGAGGTGAGTTGATTCAGACTTGTGCGAATCTAAGATGAGTCCAGGATGAGCAGGCTACGATGATGTGGGAGGTATAACTACTCCTCTTTGCTTTGGTTCAATGTACAGATATGAATCTCTCACAGCTGCTTGCATTATCCACTGTTGGACCATCCACCTCTGCTCCTCCTATAGTCCCTAAGTCTCCATCCACCATGCCTACTGAGACCGCCGTGCCACATGCTACAAATTCAGCTCCACTCGGTGACGATAGGACTGTGACCGATCCCCCTATTCGTGAGGATGCTATTACTAGACTAGAGGGGGCCATGATAGAGGCCGTGGATTCTTCGAGTACTCACTCAGTTGTTGCCGCTACTTCCTCCCTAGCATCCCAAACCACCGCTGCTGATGCCCTTCTCACCCTACTCTACCTCAGAGGATCCCTCCACCTGGACTTGAGAGATTTTCTTCTCACCCCACTCTACTTTATTTGTGTGCATTGAGGACAACGCATAGTTCTTAGTGTGGGTTGGGGGGTTATTCATTTTTTGTGTGTGGATGAATGGACTTAACTGTTATAACATTTGTTGCTTTTGATACTGTTGGGGCTGTAATATTCACTGAATTAATGTCCTGTAATAGTTAGTAAGTTCATCTATATGTAGTAACTCTCAGTCTTTTGTTGTGTCTATTTGTAGTAAGTAGACTTCTAATAGGTGGAATTTTTTTTAGAAAGTATACGACTTTTCCCGACGACGGACTACTTGGACAGTTCTCTCGAGGGATTAAGGTCCTTGGAAGAATACAAAAAGATTTTCATTTGATTCTTGAAATTATTGTTAGTATTAGGAAATTGACAGAAAAATAAAGAAAAGCACAAAAATATTTTATTTGCCTTGAGTAGTTAGTAAATTTAATCTACTAGGCAATAATTCTCCTTGGTTTTTCTTTGGCCATTGGTTCTTTTACAAGGGATGAATTTTTGAACCGGGTTAGTTTTTCTTTTTAGAGTAGTGTAGGATATGAAGACTGAGACTAAATTCAGCACATTCTGTGACTTGTTTGATACTAACAAAGTTAGACCTGAGCATGTGGATTATAAATTTCTCCATGAGTTTTTGAGAACTATTTTTTCCTTGAAAAGTTGAATAGATTTTTTGTGACGCTTAGGCTCATTTTCATGACTCCCGTGCTAACTGCCGTGCTGTGTGCATTAAAATTATGGCTTAACTCCGTACTTGCTTTGATTGAAAGTTGGAATATAGCCATCCTAAGTGAATCATGTGCCATTGTGTGATGAGATTTTTGTATCAGTTTCGTGTAGTACATTTGAGTCTAGAACTTGCCCGGTATGTGAGTTGAAGCAAAATTTTAGGTGATGCTCGGTTTGAAAATTGATTTTAGGACTTCTTTGATCTTTTTGAGCTTTATTGTTACCACAGATAAAATCTATCCCTAGTTAACCCTTTTGAGCCTATAGACTTTTATTTGGCTCCTACATTACAAGCCTATATCCTTTTTATTCTTAATTGACATTGTTTTGATCCTTTTACCTCTTAAAGCACTTTAATTGTGAAATGAGCGCTAAATGAAGCAAGGAGGGGATTTGAGTGGCTTTTGAGTGGAACCAAT